TGTAAGAAATATCTGCTAAATGCAGAGTCGAGTGTACAATTCCGAATATCAAATGATAGTGATACAAGGTATTCTCGAAAAGTTTAGAGTATCCTGCCCCATCTGACACAAACACAGGAAAAGGCAGTCAGTTGCTCACCTGAAACAAATACTGGAACGTATGTAAAAAGTCAAAATGGGGAATTGCATCGGTCAGATTTTTGTCACTGATGCGTCACGTGCGAAATAAATTCCTTAAAAAAAACATAACAGTTGGGTTATCCCAGTGTTTTTTTGCACTGGTTGGACATTGTCCACATATTGTCTAAAGACGAGACAAGGATTCACAGAGTAAATCATCTAATGTTCATAAAGAATTTTCACATGAAACAGTCAAAGTACGTCAGAATGGTATCCAGATAGCTGATACTGACGCCTCCCCAACTGATGGAGTCAACTGCTACAACGTCACAGGGAACAGAGACGGGACAGACATAGCTGATGTTTTGAGAGTCTCGTGTCCTGGTGAAGGGCGTTATCTGGTCCTGTTTACCGCCACTGTGAACAACGAACCAGAGGGTTATACCATACCGATAATGGATTTCTGTGAAGTGGAGGTTGACGGTATAAATCAATGAACACTTTTTGGTTTTCTAGTGTTCTAATAATCTGTACATTGAAGTTGGTAATGAACTTAGAACTTATAATTAATGTCAATTCTTTAAATATTGATATTTCTTGTGAATTAATGGTGATCGGATTCTGGTTTGATCATAGCTAAAGATGACGAAACGTTTATGGCCAGAAAAATAGGAAGCTAAATTAACTGATAATGATAGCAGTATATTATGTGGAGAGAAAAGTTCCTTTCACACTCTGCCTGCATGAACAGACAGCATATATCAACAAGCGATATAGCAAACAATGGTCAATGTAATTATAGTCACTCTACCTGCAGTGTTGCTTAGTTTTTTTTGTGATGTATTTTCTCCGACGCATTTCTGTGATAATATATTTTATTGGCCTGCGTCCTTAAACTGAACAGCGTGGATTTATCGTCATCAATATTAAGTTCGTTCATGTAATGCATTCCTTGACAGTGTGCAGTCCTGGTACTTTCGGCGCTGACTGTGACAACTACTGCCATTGTTTCGGGGAGGTATGCGACCACATGAGCGGTGTCTGTCCTGGTGGAGTCTGTCGACCGGGATGGGCAACAGAAACGTGTGATATGGGTCAGTGAAAGTTCACTGTTTCTGACTACAGTCCATGTCTACGAACTAAAGGATTATAATCAATCAAAATCGAGTGTGTAACACGTAGCATTCGTAAAACTGCTGCTACATAACTTGCACGTTGTCTTTCAGTGTGTAATTTCTGCCAGTACGGAGCCAACTGTAGTAACATCTATCTAAATAGGAACTGCAAGGGAGACAACTCTAGCTGTGACACGTGGCAGGGGAATATATTGGAGGCTGTGGGGCAGGATGGAATGGAACAGACTATACCCAGAGTAAGATAATTGTACACCTATCACCTGCACACAGGCAGTTTTGTAAACATGATAGAATGCTTTGTCAGCATGTACGTTCGTTTATGGGATTACTGCATGTGCCATTTATCACAGAATGCTTATAATCGTATGGCGACGGCTGTTCCAAAATGTGCTCTGACAGGAAGTGCAATGAGACCTCACGAGACAACTGTTACCACGTGACCGGGAAGTGTGAAAGTGGTTGCAGGCCTTGATGGAAAGACACTGACTGCACAGAAGGTTTGTTGCCAATCCTAACCAGAAGTAGTGTTTGATAACATTAGATGTAGGTACGTTTGTTTGGCAGCAATATTCCAGCCAAGTGAAGGGGGTCTGTAAGTAATCAAGTATGGACCAGGCGACCAATTAGGCGTCTCTCACGACAAGCATAGGTTGCTGAAGACCTATGAGTATCTCCTCGTGGGATTTGTGGGTCTGTGCGTGTATGTGTATGTGTGTATGTGTGTGTGTCCGTGTGTGCGTGCGTGTGTGTATATGCGCTCGCGTAATCTAATGGCTACCAGACATACATTATGATTGTGTTATGTTTTGTTTGTAGCATGTATTCCGGGGGTTGAGTTCGGCGCTGACTGTGTGGGTGACTGCAGTGCCCGGTTGTGTAAAGGAAAGTTGGGCACTTGTCCCGGGGACACAGGCCGGTGTGAGTCAGGATGTCAGCCGGGGTGGCGCGGAGAAGACTGCCTCAGGGTAAGAGACTATCAGGTTCAATCCTGCTACATCACTTCAATAAAACCAGCATCAGTGTTATGTTGTTTGTACGTAGTAGATTAATACATTCTATGATTAATATGTAATCAACTATTTTGAATTCTACTCTTCCGATTCCCTGAAAGTGAAATCTACCCTTCATATAAATTTACTGTATTATATACGTACTTACTAAATGGCAACCGACATGGGTAAAACTATTTTAAAACGTTCGGTCGTATGGGTGATGTGTTTCGGGTCAACGTTTGTAGGATTTAAGTAAGTTTTAGAAGAAGATTCCAAGGTGTCTGTTGTTGATGGGTGTTCAACAATCACTCAGGATGCACACAAATGGCGTTCACGCGACTTGCAACTCTTTCTAATACACCACTGCCAGAAATAGTTGTAAAGTTTACTAACTTACTTAGTGAATAGCACTGTCCACTCAGACAAAAACATGTCAGTAGACTTTACTAATGGATGAGTACATTTTTTACTCTTCACTAATTCAAAATGGTTAAGACGCAGTAATCAAATGTTCCAGGTATACAGTCAAATCGTCTTTGTCTCTACACATATCTTAATCCAAATGTACGTAATATTGCACGTGTGTTCGTTCATGTATTACATTCCTGACAGTGTGCAGTCCTGGTACTTTCGGCGCTGACTGTGACAACTACTGCCACTGTGTCGAGGAGGTATGCGACCACGTTAGTGGTGTCTGTCCTGGTGGAGTCTGTCGACCGGATTGGGCAACAGAAACGTGTGATACAGGTCAGTGCAAGTTCACTGTTTCTTATGACAGTCAGTGTCTAAACCCTAATTGATATAATCATTCAAATGCGAGTGTGTACCACTTGTTAATCGTAATACGACTGCTACATTACATGCACGTTTTCTTTCAGTGTGTTATGACGGCCAGTATGGAGCAAACTGTAGTAACAGTTGCCTTAATAGGAACTGCAAGGGAGACAACTCTAGCTGTGACCACGTGACAGGGGAGTGTGTTAGAGGCTGTATGGCAGGATGGAATGGAACAGACTGTACCCAGCGTAAGATACATGCACATTGTTAGTAAGGCATTTAAAACATCACGGTTAGGGTTTCGATCTGTCAGCGTTTCGCGCCGATTTATATAAACTACTATTTCTTTGGGACTGTCAAGATGGAAATGTTTGGTAAGCAGTGTTTGCTAAGATGTTGTAACTGGCATTGGTTCGAATTGCCTATTACCCTGCTGACAGAGAAAGTGAGAGTGTGAGTGAGTGAGTATGGTTTTTCGCCGCTTGTAGCAATATTCAAGCAATACCACAGCGGGGGACGCCGGAAATGGGCTTCACACATTGTACCCATGTCTGGACAAAGAAAGAGAGACCCTACCTATATGAATGATCTTTGAAAAAGTTTCTATGTTTATGTCTTGTGTTTAAGAAATGCCGGTGCCTGATACCACCACACGCACAGGGGGACAGCTTTCTCCTACAACAACTGGTATAATTGGTGTAGCTGTGGGAACTGGTCTCAGGTGATCCTGGGAGTTATACTCCACGTGTGCCTTGTAAGACAAGGGAGGTAAGTGAACCTTACCAACACATCATTATACTTGTTATCAAATAAAACATGCGTTAATCCTACTGAATGATGTTACAACGTATCAAGACATCACTACAATCTATTTCACAGACTGATGTGGATTGGCACTTCACAGAAGGATGAGGTGAGGGACTCACAAGGGCCAGTTGACAGAAACATCACTCAGGCGTCTGACAACACATCGGTATTCGAGGTTGCACACGATGATGGATGCAGCATCGGCAACAACTATGTTGCGCTTGATGTGGCAACAAAGGCTGACAGTGAATATGGTATTATTCAGGACCAAATTTATGAAGAAATATAGACAGGATTGTTACATCTACAGCAATAATGACTCATTGATTATTCTAGTCATGTCGTGTGTATTTTAGTCATGTTGTGTGCTTTCTAATTATGTGTGTATAACATAACGTATCACATTTTCATCATGGTCCAAAGTAAGAAACATAAAAAACCTGCTCCTATTTCTGTTTAGCTTTCGACCCAAGCCTGGATCGTGCAGACACTCCCATAGCTGAAGGTGATTTACTGAATCAAACGCATATTTAAAATCCACAATGCAACGTGAAATTCCTTTTTCTTTTCGATAAACATTTTTTAACAATTGCATTCAACGTAAATATGTGATCAGCAGGAATATATCCCTGTCTAAAGCTTGCTTGTGTCTCGGGTAGTTAACTTCTCATATTAGCTATACCCCAGTTGGTGAGTCTAGAGTTTAAGACACATGTGCAAACCTTACTAATTGTACACAATACAGATATCCCTCTTAAGTTATCTGGATTATATTTGTTACCTTTCTTATGTAGTGGACCATGACGCCCCCTTGTGGCTACACATGTGCAATGACTGAACTGAATTAATGCTGACAATGACGACACTACTTTTGTCAATCACGGTGTCTAATTTCATTTGATTGTGTTCACGCATATTCTGTATAGATACTTTTACATCCACTTAATAAATATCCTTATTTTTTAAGTATGCGTTTCTTTTTTTGACGAGTGTGCATAAGACTTTAACCACATTGGTTAAACCAACCACCACCCACAAACATAGGGATTCGAACCAACGGTCATAGGTTTCTTGCAGGTCTAAACACTGCTATGTTCTTCAATTATAAGGCGACAATGGTCGTCGAAAAAGGCGACATTCATGATATCAATCACTGGATCGATTATTTACAGAACGCCGCCATATAGCTGCAATATTGCAGAGCGCGGCGTTGAGTAACAAACATAATCCTCAATTATAGGAAACGTTTGCGTATAGATCAATACAACAAACGCCCTCTACATTTCATTTTTATCCACAGTTGTTTATCAGGCATAATTGTGCTCAAAATAACAAGAACAAAGTAACATGAAACATATTGAGAATATATCTGAACCTTCACATATGTTCTGGACCATTACAACAAGCCAATAACGCGAGTGACTCGGATGTGTGAGAGAGAGAGTTGAGTTATAACAGGAAGAAAACATCGTTTTGACATTAATGCTGCCTCAACCATATGTTATTGTCAAATCGAAATTAGATTTGAAATACAACTTATTTACATTCACGGTTATTACGACTTGGGGGTAAATCCATACAATTCACAATAATGATCAATAATAAGATATGTTTTCCTTCAGATGCCACCTGGTAACAGCACACGATTAGTGTTATTTGATTTAGCCAAGATTGTAACTTTGAAAAGGACGTTATGTGGACGACCTAAATATTTTATCTGCCACAATTTGTTATCATACTATTTCCGTATAATCACACGTTTCCTTTGGGCAAATCTCAACAGGTCACTGGATAGTGTCACCATCAGCTGGAATACCGCGCTTTGTTGTGGAATACCTTTTTTACATACGACGGCCAAAGGCCATAACTAGATATTCAGCTTGATATTTGCAAAACTGGTAATTTGAGTGAGAGGGAACTATTAAGTATTTTTCAAAGGCACCTCCGATATTCACAAAGGGTGTTCAGACATTTCAGCAGCTGGCATCATCACTGCAATTTGACATTTTCTACTTGACATTGGTACTTTGCTTTCTAATGTATATGTATACCAATGAAGTAATCCCGAAGTCATATGTTCAGATGTTGCACTATCCGTGACATGAATCTTAGATTTGATTGGTTTCGTTCTGAATAACATCATACGGTGACTTGTTCTTCTCCCTGGTGAATTCATTCAATTCTGTATAGTCTTGATCTTTCACATCGGAAGTGGGCGCATGAGTAGAAATCTCTCCAGTGTTGGGCGTGTCCGTCTTTCTCAACTCTTGAGGGTCTGTGGTAGTTGTGGGAATCCATTTCAGTCTAAAACAAAGAATTGTCACACTTGTAGAGTGAGTGAGTGAGTGAGTGGGGTTTTACGCCGCTTTTAGCAATATTCCAGCAATATCACGGCGAGGGACACCAGAAATGCACACTGGTAGAAGTATTATACATGCACATATAGGTGATTGTGTTAAGAAGCAAACAAACAGTAATGACACAATGTCAATAATCTGTTATATAACATCATACAAAGCTAAGGAATGAAGGAGTTACCTTCCAGACTTCAACAGCCATATCATCAGCCCACCAATCAGCAACATTACAGCAACTCCTATTGCTCCCCCAATGACGCCGGTTGTAACAGGAGATACTGGATTAGATACAAAGTCACTTTAGTCCGGTTTTTAACATTTTTTGGTGAATGAATATATAATCACCATATGACAACGTAGACAATAGCATATAATATATAACGTGTGTTTGATGATAGATGTGCAGAGATCAAACGCCATCAATACATGGTGACGGGGCTATAATTGATCTTTTCTTATTCTTAAACCTCATATTCTTTTGGAAAAACGACAAAAAAGTATTCAAACCCCTGACATCCACATCACATCGGTCACCGGTGAAGCCGTCCAGACATTCTCCCGGACAGCGTCCATCTCCATCGTTACACGTGACGTCACAGTGTCCACAACGAGAACAGTCACGCCCAAAGGTTCCAGGCTTGCATTCTGAAGGTGGTCAGTAAGGTGTTCAGTTATGAAATGATATGAATAAGAAACAAGTTGACATAATCTAGTTTCGATATAACGCATATTCGTTTGTAGGTTTTTAAAAGGTTGATATACAGTAATAGTCATTGAACATTCTGTATAACAGAAATATATGTTGAGTAGCTAAATATAACATATCCCATTGGTAATTTTACATGTTTGATTCCATGAGGAAAGATGGGTGAAATGATATACTCTAATTAATACAATATATATATAACCTACACATTTAGTAGCATATATATGTCAGTTTAATTGAAAAAACTAGTTAAGAGCAACTTTGATTCAAGATTTCCTTAGGATTTTTTGAAACAAAAGACTGGCATATTTGTTTTATATTGTCACCTGACAACGGAAAATTATGAGAAAATTCAAATGAGGTCAGGAAGTACCACAGAAGGGTCCGTTATAAACGGGTAGAATAAAGGGTTTCGGGATTACTATTTTCCTCGTTAGGGGCCATTTGACTACGACAGAATATGTTCTAATGTGTTAATCAATTAGAAACATATATTACTAAGTAGTTATTCCCACCACCATTAACGTCTTACAATGTACCCAGCTTGGTCTCTGTTTTCGAAATATATATTTGCTAAGGTTTACACGAAAAACTATTTCTAGGCTGAAACGTCCTTTCAGAGAAACAGGCAGTGAGAGAAAACTGATATGATATGCCAGCATAAAGTTTGCATGATAAATTTAAAGTGTAAGAAAAACTTACAACTTTATGGATAACAACTTCTGGTTTATTGCATACAGCGACGTTTCAATGTAGATTCTTACACCGCCATCAAGCTCGAGTAACTCACTCTGGCTCAATCACGGTTGATTCATGTTTGGAGCCTTTTAAAGCTAATGGCTTCGTCTTTTCTGATTTTGAATTCTTCGAGGTTGCTTCGATTTTGTCCCACTGGATGCTCAACTCCAAGTATCAAGCAACCTTGATCTAGGCTATTATTACATAACCCCTGTATATTTAACCAAGTAACATCACAGCGCTCATTGACAAAAACAATATTATCAGTCTACAATTTTTATTAAGCTTCCAAGTCATTATTATTCCATTCCAAACAGCAAGTATAATGTTGCAGTGTTTTGTAGTTTCTTGTTTAACGCCACACCAAGCACTATTCCACCTTTACCAGAAAATCCAGTGATTGACAGCATAAACAACGTCTTACGCAGTCGGTGTGCAATGACAAGAAAACAACTAAGTCACCTCTTACTACCTGCATAGCCTGCTGGGGACCTTTTCTAACCAGGATTCCCCACTAGTAGAAGTTAAAGTGATGACTTCGGGTGTGCCGGGAACAACGTAACATATCCTACCAGCACCACCCGTCCCGAGTGAACGCCCAAAAATCAAGATAAAACATCTGACCACCTTTGGATCATATGCAATTGGGTATTATTTATTAAGAAAAAGTAAGAGTATCATGTCCAAGCGCTGGCACGCGTCACGCAAAGACAAGTCAATTATTCAACTGAAAAGAACACTGAAACATATGGAAGCCTGCAACCTCGGGGTAACGCTGTACTTGTCATGTAACAAAATGCACTCACTTACCTTTATGATTATATCAGATATTATATCAGATGTCATTTATTTTATCTGACAATGCATCTTTTACTGATAGTGAGTGAGTGAGTTTGGTTTAAAGCGACTTTTTACAGTATTCCAGTTATATCGCGGCGTGTCAGCTTAATGTGGGAGGAAAGCCCGAAGTGATGCAGGTCTCAGACCTTTACCACTTCGGTGAAACCGACCAGCACCGATATTGTGCTGACAAACCTAGAAACATAATCGGGGCGAACCGGGATTCGAACCCACAATCAGAGGTTTCTAGCGTACCAAAGGGATGAAACTCTGCACAGGGAATCGCGGCGCCTTATAATTAGACGACTGGAACACCTGTGCCCCTATTTTACTGATACAAGTTCATTATTTACATTAGGAGCTCCGAGTAAAAGCTGGCCTCGTGTTCAGTTTGAGAAGGGAGAGAACTCAATCGTATCGCGGTATGGCGAAAAGTTGTTTATGGAGGTCCGAATTAAACAAAAAGAGGCCATAATTCTACCAACCAGTTAGTATTATCATGCCAGACATAAGTGATTTGTCCAGACAAGTGCAAAGACAGCACATGTGAAATTCTAAATGTGTTCTCAGTAATAGGTTTTCAATGCATATTTACCGAAAAGTTAGAGAACAATATTTTTAAAATCAACAACAAAATATCAGAAATGATATTCTAAGATTATTTAAAAAAAATAAAATTGGGTGACAATAATTTGTCACAAAATGGAAAAATGTTAAAAGTCAACAATAAATATATAAAAAAGCACTCCTAGTATGCCCAAAGTATGTATTTATCTTTTGGCTAGTAGTGAAAAACTAAGTTTGGCATTATGGCCCTTATTAGTCGCCATGAATATGCAGATGATCTAGTTCAGGTCGATAGAGAAAGTTTACTTGGGGAACTGCGGGTAATATCATTGGTCATTGATAGATGGGGGTAAGGCAATAGTATAAAAGATGCCAGAAGTAAGTATCAACGCATTAATAACCCCTTACTTACAGCAGACGGAACATTCCGAGGAAATAGAAACTGTTTACGAAGTGAGCACTTTCTGGTTACTGATTTGCATTAATAGATGTCCGCGTGAACTACCGGAAATCACAAATGCCGCGATACGATGAATGCCGCAGTACGACGGGGTCCGAGTATACATGTCAAATTGGGGAACATCCTACATCATATTGTTGTGTTGACCTAACTAAAAATAGGGGGTGTCATACAAACAACAGGCACGATGATGTTCTGTAACGTACTTCCGGAGCAGTCTATTTCTGTCCATCCATCTTCACACCCATCAGGACACTGTCCTGTCACTCTGTCACATGTAGAGGTGGGTGTCTTGCAGTGTCGGGAACTGCAGTTGCTGGCACAGTTAGGGCCGTACATCATACTGGTGCACGCTGAATAAGGCAAAAAGTGAAACTGGTGTAAGTTTGAAAGTAATTCAAAGATAGTTATCATAGCTGCAGACATGATTGAACTTATAACATCTGTAATGTAAATTACACCCTTAAACAAACTGCCAATCATTTTAGAACATAAACGTTACTCAGCTTTCAATTAATTGATATCATAATTTGACGTGCAATACAAAGTATATGGAAACATTTTTTTAGTACCAAACACAATTCATGTTAAATGGAATGGTTAATGGGTTCAAGCTTTGTTACAACTCATCTCAAATTGCTGAGTGTTGGCGATGCTGCACGTGTAAAATTATTTCTTGGATCAAACGTTCACTGCACAAGAAGCATGATATCTGTTCACATAGAGATATAAAAAGGCGACCATGCAACAAAAAGGTCATCAGTCAACGTATGTTATGAGAGAATATTCACATCTGACTCTTAAGCAGGAGTGAATAGTTCCACAATCTGTAGGGAAGTAGACATATTTATATCTTGAGTTTTAATGCCAATGCCACCATAATGACACACTACTTCTAACTAGTGTGTGCAATGTTAACACTGAGTTGAATCGACTAATCATATTGTGCATTTTGATTTATGTGTATAAATTCAAATTTATTTGCTGTTCACTCAGTTCTTTTGTTGAACCTATCGCAAATTTCGAATATGTTATATTAACAAAACAATCATTATTGTTTATTATATTATTATGGTGCAAGGTGACTTACTTTTGGAGCAGTCTATTTCTGTCCATCCATCTTCACACCAACCAGGACACTGTCCTGTCTCTCTGTCACATGTAGAGGAGGGCGTCTTGCAGTGTCGGGAACTGCAGTTACTGGCACAGTTAGGGCCGTATATCATACTGGTGCACGCTGAATAAGGCATACATGAAACTGGTGTACGTTTGAAAGTAATTCATGGAACGTTCTCCTAGCTGCAGATATGATTTAAACTATAACATCAAGGGGCCATCATGTATTGGTGAAGGCTACTGCGTTTGGACGAGCACAGGCTGCCTCGCGAATGCTATTTAATGCTCAAATCACTAGACCATTCTGGTCGCACCACATGGGCAATGCAACTCACATTAAGAACATCTTGTTTAAATTAGGTTTTGGACATGTATGGTTAACACAAGATGTTGACAATGTGAAGATATTTACTCATCTTTTTAAGCAAAGATTATTTGATAACCTTCAACAATCATGGTGTAGTTCTATCAATAGTCTAGTTGATACCTTTTATTATAAACATTTTCAATCCCTGTTAAATGTCGAAAAATATCTTACACTCCCCATACCAGTACATCTGAGAATATATATCACTCGTTTCAGATGTAGCAAGTTTACACTTGCAGTTGACTTGGGGAGATACACAAATGTCATTACACAAATGTAACACATTTTTATATCTATATAAAGTCCAACGGCTAAGAGAAACTTAAATCGATTTCTTCATTGCCATGCGTCTGTATTATGGGCCTATGGCCTTCTTACTGAATATGCTATCTCTCTGTCTGTCTGATAGCTGTAGATTTGATTTAAATTATAACATTTGTAATGTAAATTACATCCTTTAACAAACTGCCAATCATTTTGGAACATAAACATTATCCAGCTTTCGATTAGTTGATATCATAAACTGACGATCAATACAAAGTCTATGGAAACATGTTTTAGGACCAAACACAATTCACTTTAATGGAATGATTTAGAGGTTCAAATATTGTACGACGTATCGTAGCTTGTTACAGCTCGTCGCAAATTGCTGCGTTTTAAAGATGCTGCACGCGTAAAATGATTTCATTGATCAAACTTTCACTGCAAAAGAAGCATGATAATTGTTCTCATATGGATATAAAAAGGCGACCATGGCACAATAAGGTCATCAGTCAACATTAAAACGCCCAAGAAGGCGACAACAGCGCCCGCTTTACATCGAGGGAGAGCAATTTGTGTTTTGAACTTTGGAACAAAAATCAACTGTACGGCGATCACTAGATTCATGCGGCGTGACAGAGTTACTGCAGACAGGTCATGGTGTGGAAGACTCCACAACCATGGGAGACTGCTATCTCCTCACCTTGCACCAAGGTGACAGGTTCCTCAATATAAAATTATCTTATGTGACTGCTTTGGGCGTACCAGTTGTTCCGTGGTTGTTCAACGCCCCACGCAGCCATATTACATATTACGGTTTGTAAATAAGCAAGTCTGGACCAGACAATCCCGTGACTGACATGGTCATATACATCGATGAACGTCATAGGGACACGATAACGAGACAACATCTACTTCAGCCTTTGCGTCTGGCACGAGTTCAACTTTGGCAACGTGGGAACTAGCAACGTGCGTTCTTTCTCGATCTGCTGATGTGGCCAGATAATCCAATCTCCCAATAAACAGAGGTCAGATTGTACAGGCACAGGAAAAGGAATGGGGGGCAATTACTAATTGTGTCATGAAACGCCTAACGATCCTTGCCCGACGTCGTGTGTACGGATGCATATCTGGACATTGAGGACATACACGCTACTGAATCATTCATATTCGTTCAGTGACATATATCGTCGTGTTTATTCACGCTTTTTCCCGAGTGTTGTTTTGTAAATTCCCCCATGTTTATGAACCGCGATGTTGCCATTTGATTATTGTATATAGCAGCACTTCTATCTCGTCAAATGACTATATTTTCCAAATTCAATGTTTGAACAATTTTTCGATTTTACCATTTCCGAAAACTGATCAGAAAACTTTCATCCATCCTCAGTTCATATCACTGGACTGAGTTCAATGAACTCTGAAGTGAAATGTTTAAATCACCAACATAAACTGTTACCAATACAAAACATTCTTGAAATGCGCCAAGAAATATGAATCAATAAGCCTACTTTGGAAACAGTCATTTCCCATGAAACCTCTTTCAGAGCCATCAGGGCAAATGCCAGTCACATGAGCACATGTGTCAGATGGTGTCTTACAGCGACGCCTCCCACAGTACTTGCTACATCCTTCTCCATATCTACCCGGACCACAGGCTGAGAGGGATGATTAGCAATGTGCACGTGTTAAAAACTTTACTTTGCTAAATTACCTACATTATTCATAGTTCGAAATGTATATATATTTTAGTACTTTCCGAATTCATATCATTTATGATAACAGAGTTATATCTTAAGCTTGGATTGACATAAGTGAGGCCGAACATTAATACAAACGTTTCTTCTTTTTGCAAATATGATCGTTGATAAATTCGCTAATTTGTTATATGAGGTGACGAAGAAGAAGACAACAAAACGGAATAAGTCTTGTAATCTAAATCAAAAGTCTCTGATATAAGCCAGTTAGCTCAGCTTAAGGAATCAAAGACTTGTTGGTTCCAAGCAACACAGATGCTTGTATGATTTGTAATATATAACTTTCATTCAGCATTTTGTATTTCATCCGAACATTAGCGGTATTCAGCTGCAGCGTTATTACACTGATATCTCGAATCATGATGTGATAATGCTCTGACGAATTAATGGAGCGTTGCTCCACGTCGTGTTTCAAAACGTGCCTCAAGACATTTGGACGAATGAGCTATGAAACACGATGATTTCAGGAAACGAAATATGGAATTGAAATTATGCTCTGTATTAATTGAACACATGTTATAAGGTATCCACGAAAATGAAACTACTATTACGACCATATCTTTGCGTATGTTCTGAATTAAACACATGTACATGTTATAAAGTATCCACAAAAGTGAACCTACTATTACGGTCATATGTTTGTATAATGACAATGACCTGAAAATAGAATATGTGTGGTTGAGAATGTACGATACGAGACGGAACAATGTAATCGTTCAGAGCTTTTGACAATGTAACCAACAGAAAGCCGTGAAAGATCGACATTTTAGCTGTCGACTTCTGCTATCCAGCAACATGAACGACCCGTTGTAAATTGAAACCAAAATCAATTAAGCAATAGAAAATACATGACTAAACAAAATACTATGTACTATGCTTAAAACATTAACTTGAGTACAATCTGTACCCTGATACCTCGCCTCACGTCCACCGACACACTGCCCTTATATCTTGTCATGACAGCTCGAGTCCATCTTGCAATGGCGGGAAGTGCAGAGTTGGCCACAGTCAGTCCATAGTACTCAGGTTCGTAAAACCATACTCACTCACTCACTACTATTTAGGAATGGAATGGCGTGACTGTTTTTTTAATTTTTCAAGTAAGTACTTTCATACTTTTTTCAGTAATTTAAGCGTGAAGTTGCCTGGTGGTCTTTTCGCTACGACCTACAATGTGTGGCGTCTGGACTATTTGGTACTAGATGAAATCAATAGCACATAAAACAGTTTCTATTATTTATACAATAACATCTTGAAGACATACTACCAGTCTGTGGGACTCCAAACTGCTACGGGTACCCTTTTCACGAACACCTTGTGTCATCGCTGATTTTTAGTGATCCATTCATATAATTATCAACGTTAATGTGCAATATGCGCCTTATTGAATCTGTTTCATCGGTTCTTCAAAATTATACTCCAGCAAGTGTCACCTACACTTCGGAACTCCTGACCTTTGCTGAAGGTCATCTAACAGTGCGTATGCACCACTCATGGAACATATATCACATTAACCTTTAATAAATGTTATCAATTTCCGATGTTAAATATTAGACTGTGCGCAAACTTTCACAGAATTTCATTTGTTTGACATCTAGAACAATCCTGGGACTTAATTGTTATTAACGACACGAAATATTTCACGATCGCACATTTCATTGTCAGTTATTCATGCCTACATTACTTTGAACCTACATTTCAATTCATGTACAGAGAGCTACCATATTGTATTTTTGTACACTGAAGTTAATGCCATTTGTTGCCAGCAGGGCTCAACCACGACTGACAAGTGACAGAACCGAGTGACTTGGGCAATTAATACACATTTTCAAAAAATAATCCATATGAGCTGAGACAAATATTATGTATGATGTCTTACGATATGTTACGATAGAGGCGACAAATAGAATCGGGTGGTCAGACTCGCTAATGATGCATGTCATCACATCCCTAATGCGCATATCGGTGCTCTTGATGTCAATCAATTGATGTATGGTATGATTTACTGAGCACCGTCATATAGATCGAATATTGTTATATTAATTCTTTAATCCGCATATCTGAGTAAAAAAGTGACATAATGTAGACAATATATTGACGATATGTTTAGTTTATTATGAACGCATTCAGACATATACACCATAAATAATGGCAGGGAGAGGGAAAAAATGAATCAACTATAAACACAGATTATTTATTAAATCAATTAAATCTAATCTGAATAAACATTACCTTGAGTACAGTCTTTTCCCTGATATCCAGCCGCACATCCACCGACACACAGTCCTCCAATGACGTCACAGCTGGAGTCCGACTTGCAGTGACGTGCAGCACAGGATTGGTCACAATTTGATCCATAATACCCAGAAGTGCATGCTAGTAAATAGGAACGTCATATTGTGATCTACATAGTTACCTGGATCTCTTCCTGCAGTGACGGTAGTGGCTGCAGTGGCTGTAGTTTTCGTCATACTATCCAGAGTGGCGTGCTGGAGTATCTATCAGTCATCTCTTAATATCACTATTAACTAAAGTGAACATGTAATAATGGTTGTTTATGTAATGTGATACGCAAGACAAACAGTCATCCTTATGGACATTGTGTCCAATATCTGATTTAAAAGTGATTTGTATTTACTGATCCCTGAGCTTTGTAACATGTTATGCAACATGGCGGTAGGTCAACATGTGAAAAAGATCACATGAGTAAAGTGTTGCACATGCTCCAAT